GGGGAGGATTGGGGGGTCCTTGATGCTCTTGTTTTCTTGCAGACATTTCATGACCAAACTAGGTAACACCCATCAGTGTTAGAAGGGAGAGGGGTTTGAGAAATGGGGAAGGAAGCGGGGGGGGGGGGGGGGGAGGAAGAAGAGGAAAATGACTTTTTGGTCTTTGATGCTCTCTGAGCTGGATGGATTTCTGGTAGGCAGATAAGTAGATGGGTAGATATTTAGATAATATAGATAGATTTATAGGTAGAGACAGAAATATAAATATTTAGATAATATATAGATTGATATAGATATATAGATCTTTACATAATAGAGTAGATAGATATAAGATTTATAGAGAGATATAGAATAGATATTTATGTAATATAAATGTAGCGATATGGATATAGATTTATAGATATATGGATGTAGATATTTAGATAATATATAGATATATAGAATATATACATAGATATAAATAGATTTATAGATATAGATATCTCATTTGAAAGCCATGATAACCAACACCCTCCACTGATGATTTGCCGTTTTCCAGCTTGGGCAATGGTCAATGGCGGCTCCAACATTCAACCCCGCTCTTCCTACAACGAACGGACACCGACCATCATCGTCTCGCGATCCCACGAAGGGCAAGTCAAGCAGATGGCATGGCAGAGCTTCGGCAACCAAACCGCTATCATTAAAGCCGGCGGAGCCGGTGATTGAATTCGGGGTTGTTGTTGTTGTCATGTTTGTGCAAGTGGAAAATTTGTGAGACACTCGGGAAAACTCCCAATCTCTCTCTTGAAATTTTGGCCTAGTAAGGAATACGGATAGTTCTTTGACTTAATAACGGTTTGGGTAGTGACCGTTGAAAGTTAACAATGGGCCTGGAAAAAAGTGGCTAGTCTAGGGAAGAGAAGGACCAGGGGAGACAGGAGAGCCGCCTTCCAATATTTGAGGGGCTGCCACAGGGAGGAGGAAGAGGGGGGTGTCAAGCTATTTTCCAAGGCACCCAAAGGCCAGACAAGGAGTAAAGGATAGAAACTGATCAAGGAGAGATTCAACCTGGAAATAAGGAGAAACTTTCTGACAGTGAGAACAATCCACCCATGGAACAGAAGTTGCCCTCGGAAGTTGTGGGAGCTTCATCACTGGAGGCTTTCAAGAAGAGACTGGACTGCCATCTGTCAGAAATGGTGTAGGGTCTCCCGCTTGGGCAGGGGGTTGGACTAGATGACCTTCCAACTCTGATTATCTGTTATCTGATTCACTTACCAGCTGGCGCCCGAAAGGCTGTCAAAGGGAGCAAAACTCACTCAGCCAAGGTCTCGCTTAGCAGCGGAAATTTTGGGCTTACTTGGGGTTGTAATGTGAGGACTGTCTGTAATACCTCGTATTTCCCCGAAAATAAGACTGGGTCTTATGTTATCATTTTTTTTGCTACAAAAGATGCATTTTTGGGAAATATGGTCCTAAATGCATCTGTCTGGCTGACAATCTTAATTGGGGCTTATTTTCAGGGTAGGGCTTATATCATGACCATCCTGAAAAGTGCTAGGGCTTATTTTCCATTTGGGTCTTGTTTTCGGGGAAACAGGGTAGCTCCTGAGAGAGATGAATTAAGTCCGTCACACCTTCAGCTCGCCCCTTGAGAGTGCCTGGATATCCCAGGTTACAGGACGTCCCGGACTTACAACCGTTTGGTTTAGTGACAATCAAATGTTACGATGGCCCTGGGGAAAAATAGGGACTTGTGACCCTTTTTCTTCACCCTTAACGATCATCGCGGCATCCCCAAGGTCACCTGACTAAGATTCAGATGGATAAACAAAGTCAAGAGGGAAGCCAGGGTTCGCTTAACAACCGGGTTACTCACTGAACGACTGCGGGGACATTCCCTTAACAGCTATGCCCAGAAAGGATCTAAACTGGGGCAGAATTCCCTTAAGAAATGTCTCAATTAGCAATCTAAATTTAGGGCTCAAATGGTGGCCGTAAGTCGAGGATTAACCAGCGCTGACTTAACTGGGTGAGTCACTTAACAACCGTGGCGAGAAAGGTTGTAAAACGGGACAAAACTCCCTTAACAAATGTCTTGCTTAAGAACAGACATTTGAAACTCCGTTGTGGTTGTAATGGGCCCACAATGGACCCCAAAATTTAGGTTGCTAAGCCAAACATTTCTGAAGTGACTTTTGCTCCATGTCATGCATGACCTTTATGGCCAATGTTTTTCAGTGAATCGCTTGCAGTTGTTAAGTTAGCCGCATGGACATTAAGCAAACCTGGCTTTTCCCCATTGACTTTGGCTGGCCGAAGATCACTGAATGGGGTTGTGTGATTTCCCCCCCTCCCCCCAGAACGCTGCCACCGTTGTAAATATGAGTCAGTTGCCAAGGGTCGGAGTGTAAGTTGTGTGACCCTAGGGATGCCGCGATGGTCATAAGTGTGAGAAACGGTCATAAATGTGAGAAATGGTCACAAGTCCCTTTTTTCAGCAACACAGTCCCTTTGAACTGTCATTAAGTGAACTTTTCCAATGGGAGAACTAGCTGTCTATTGCTAACACTCCGAAATATGACTTTCCTTCTGATTTCTAATCTCTCTCTTTTTTTTAAATTTTGCTTTCTTTTCCGCCCAGGATATAAAGTTTTATCTCTCCTCAATGTGCCCGAAGTGCACCAGGAGAAAGCTGACGTCTACATCCATGTCACCTTCATCAAGAAATGGGACATTTGCGCCGGCAACGCCATGCTGAAGGCCCTCGGCGGACGCATGACCACCTTAGCCGGGGAGGACATCACTTACACGGGCTCTGACGGCAACGAAGACGGCCTGATCGCCAGCATTAAAATGAACCACCAAGCCCTGGTTGAAAAACTCCCCGTCCTCGCCAAAACCTCCCGAAATTGAAACCCTGGGGAAGCCCGTGCGAGCTATTTGAAATGGGGAGAATAAAAAAGCCCCCCGTGCAAGCTACTTCAAATGAATCTGGTGAAAAAGGGGAGGATGGAGAGGGAGGGGGCTTGTTTGAGGACCGGAATCTCGCCACGGCAGCGTTTGGAGAAGACAGTTGGAGCATGGGAGGGATGAGCTTCGGAGTCAAGCTTCTTTCCTTTTCAATTTTGAGATGGCTCTCGAAAAATCGAGAGAGGCTCATTTTGTCGGAAATGAAATCTGTGAATTTCTTTGTCACGTCGGGAAAGACCCAGATCCGACCGATCGATATTTTGGGGGGGGACGAAGGGGGGGATATGATTCGATTTCCTCCCAATGGATGGTCCTAACTAAAACGATGATCGGAAGAAACCTGATTTTTATGTTTACTTGAAAATGCAAACCAGCGGTGTGCGGAGGAAGGTTTCTCTCTCTCTCTCTTTCTCTCTCTCCCCCTCTCCCTCTCCCCCTCTCTCCCCCCCTCCCCCCTCTCTCTGGGTTTTAATTATTTTTATGATGAGAACATTGCTTTGTTTCCCCTGTGTGTTCCGAAGAACGGTGTTGCCCCTGTGCTGTTCCGACTACTGAATATTATTGCCGCGATAAACCCTTGTGAGGCCCAGAAATGCTTTTTTTCCCATGAGCTTCTGATGTATCACACGCCTTTGATCGTTCATTCAGCTCTTTAAGCAAAGGATGCTCTGTGTGTGTGTATGTGTTTGTGCGTAATCAATCGTTCATATTTTTACATATAATTTCAAATTATATATAACCAAATGATCATATACATATATGCGTGTGCACACACATGCTACATTACACACACTCACACACACACGCGCATATATACACAGTGTTTTCCCAAAAAGAAGGCCCTGTCTATATTTTCTTTTTCCACCCAAAAAGGCAACAGGTCTTATTTTCAGGGGATGTTATCCATTGACTAACCTCACTTGTGCGTGTCGCCCCCGGCCTCCTTCCAGAAGTTCTTCTGTGGTTGGCAAGGCTTTCCTGAAGGCCTCTGTAGCGGATAGGATCGATCCGGAGCTTTGGTATCCGCTCCAGAGGCCTTCGGGAAAGCTTTGCCAGCCTTACTGGCTGCGGAAGAAGTGGGCTGGCCAGGCAGGCATAGGGGTGTGCGAGGCCTGGCTACACCTGTCCAAAGGTAAGGAGTAGGGCAGCTCCACCTCCCCTCTTACTCCCATCCTAGCTTAATTTTTACCCATCCATTCTGGAGTGGGCAGGATCTTAATTAGGGCTTATTTTGGTGGGGTAGGGCTTATATTGGGTGTGCCTGTAAAAGTTAAGACTTTCAGAATAGGTTGTATTTTGGGGGAAACTGTGTGTATATATACACGAGCTCAGTGCCCGTGCCTCTGCCTACCAGCATCCATTGGTATTTATCTGACTATCGTCTGTCAGTGTGTGAGAGAGTTGAGGGCTGTTTGGAAACTGAAACACTATTTGCTGTGTTAGTAAAAAACAGCAAGGAGCCTGGGCGTGGCTTAGCTCAACTGTTCTGTACTATGAAACTCTTCTACTTGTGTTTTGCATTTGGAAGAGATTTCAGGTGGGGAGGGGGAGTTGAACTCCTTAGCATCAGAGCATGTTAATCATAACAACAACAACAATAATAAACAAAACAATAATAATAACAATAACAATAATAATGGAAATCCTAATGCTCTGATGGTCATTTTGAAAAATCCTTTCTTAGTACCTAGAAGCCAAAAGTAACATATGTGCAAGTTTGTACGCTTTACGGTTCAGGAGATTTTGTGATGATGCGTGAGGGCATTTCACTTTTACACGCACACACACACACACATACAAAGAACTATGGCCCGAAAGGTCATAAAATGAGGCACAACTTATTCAATGAATGTCTCGCTTATCCACGGATATTTTGGGGCTCCTTTCAGGTCGTAAGTTGAGGACCTCCTGTATTCTTGATTGGTGATTGGCCAAGTGTGATTGGATGCACAAGGAATTTATTTGCCATGGGCAAATAGGCGGCAATATAAATTGGATAAATGAAATAACAAATAAATTTAAACAGACAGGAAATATGAACACCGGTTACCAGAGTTTGAAGCACTTTAAAACGTACCAATTAAAACAATACCAATTAAAATTTTATTGTTCATTTTTTAAAAGTTTGATTTTTTTTCAAGAAAAAAATGGAAAGAATTTCAAAATAGAAATGTTCAATTGTTTCCCCGCCAAAAAAATCCAAGTTCAAAATTTCAGAAGGTTCAAATGAAGCCCCCCCCACCCATATCTCCCAGAGACCCTTCTACGCTGATTGGCCTGGCCAGGATCCTTGACTTGCAATGATTCATTTAGTGACCGTACCATGGACCATAGTTCACACTTAACGACCATTGGACTATCCCCGCCCCGTGGTCACGTGACCCAATCCAGACGCTTTGGCAACTAGCTTGTATTTTTTGTGACCTTCTGGATCAAATGAGTCTGGGGAAGCCAGATTTGCTTAATGAGTGTGTTATAGGTAGTCCTCGATGTAGCGGCAGCCTGCTTATGACCATTCCAAGTTGTAACAGACACCGGAAGGTAACTTAAGACCATTCACACTTAACGACCAACCCTGCGATCATGAGATCAAAATTCAGACAGTTGGCCAAGTGACTCGTATTTACAATGGTCCCAGATCCCTTTTGAGATCTTCTGATGAGCAAAGTCAATGAGTGAGCCAGATTCACTTAACGACCATTTGATTAACAACAGTAGCGATTCCCTTAATGATGGTCGTAAAATGGGGCAAACTCCCCTAAAGGATCAGAAATTGGGTGCTCCCTTGCGATCAGAAGTCGAGGACTATCTGTCTCTGTGTTTGCTTATATGAATAATAACTCAAAGCAACGTGCAAAATTTCAGGCTTATATAGATTCCTTTAATTTAAATTGTACCGGGAAGAGCAGCGTGCGCGCGCTCCTCTAATTTTACCTATCTATAATCTCGGGGTAGGGCGTGGCCTTGCATCTCACGTTGCCTGCCGCAAAGGGCTTTCCCTATCTCCTCCCTCTAATCTCGTTCCCAGGATGAGCCCATCTCACTGGCTTATCTCTATATCATCGGTGGGTGTATCCCCGCCTCTCCCATTGGCTCCCCTCCACGGGCCTTCCCTAGCTCCTCCCTCTAAGCTGATTCACAAGAGGAGCCCCTCTCATTTGTCTATCTCTATAGACAACGGGGAGGCGTAGCTCCCCTTCTTCCCATTGGCTCCCCGCAACGGGACTTTCCCCCTTCCTTAGCTTCTCCCTCTGGTTTTGTAAATAGGAGGCGTTCTTCTCAATTTGCCTATCCCTATTGGCTGGACAGAACACTTCTTCCTCTTTGTCCTCCTCCGCCCCCCCCATGGTCCTCCCTGGAGTTTCGTGCAAACAGGAAGAGCCCCCCCCCTCTCTCTCTCGCCTCGAGGCCTTCCCGCTGATTGGTCGGCGTCCTCGCCGAGCGTGGGAAGCGGGCCGTTTGCCCATTGGCGGGCGCCCCTTTTGGCGGGAGGAGGATGTGCTCGGTTGGTGGGCGGGGCCCGGCGAGAGGCGGTAAGGAAGGGGTTGCCCGGGGGGGGGGTCTTCGTCTCATTCAAGTTTGGTTTGCTCGACGGTGGCCGGAGAGGGACGTTTACCTCATGGAGCCCGCCGCCATCCGCCATCACTCGCACCGCCGCCGTTTGCTCCTCGGGGAGGCCGAGGGTCCCCTCACCCGCCGGAAAAGCCTCGACACTGCTGGGTAAGCCGACTGAGGGGAGCCCGGCACGATTCTGAGCCCGAGGAGATCGTTGGAAGCCTTGAACCGTCTTCCATTGTGTGTGTATGTTGCGGGGGAGGTGTTCGCGTTCCCTCATCCCCAACCGCCGGCGGGACTGGCCTATGTATCTGTTGCTTCTGTATGTGTGAATGTAGGTCGAGGATATGTGTATATGCAGACTGTGTATCTGCATGTCTATATAAGTATATGTGTGCATATGTGTATATATGAGCATGTTTGTATATAGATTGTGGATGTGTGTGTGTATGTATATTTGTGTTGATGAATGTAGATTGTGGGTATGTGTATATAAATGTGTATGTGTGTTGGTTGTGGATATGTATGAATGCGTGCAGGTTGGAGATGTGTGTATATGTGCAGATTATGTATCCTGGATGTCTATATATATGAGCATTGTACATAATGTGTGTGTGCGTGTGTATTTGTATGGATGAATGTGTGTGTGGATAAATGTCTGCATAGGTTGTGGATGTGTGTATATTTGAATGTGTGTAGATTGTGGAAATGTGTGTATGTGTACATATGAGTGTATATGCATATATGCGTGTGTGTATATGTCCGAGTATATACATATTTGTGTGTATGTATATGCAGGTGTGGGTTTATATATGTGTGTATGCACACATATACGTGTGTGTGTGTGTGTATAAAAACGTTAACAAAACCTTGCCCAGTGGTTAGACCTTCTCTGCGCACAAACATGGTTGTAGCTTTTTCTGTAGGAGCATCTCCCCACCCCCAGCTCTATTTAATTCTTCTTTAATTGAATTTATTTCATTCTGATTTACTTTATTTATTACAAGGCAAAAGCTCACAGCCCCTTCTTTGCATCTTTTGCAGCTCAACCGAATCCTGTGTGCAGAGTTTGAAAGCCAAGAACGCCCCTATGAAGAGGACGTCCTCTTCAGATTCTACGGATTCAGGTTTGCGAGAGAGTTTGCCAGCCTCTGGCTGTGGATGATGGTGGTTGAAATCCCTGAGCTTCATCTTATCCTGACTGGATAGATTCTCCTGAAATGCTCCCTGGACCTTTCTGCCAACAATTGGAGCCAAGGAGCCATTTGTATTTAGGAGTTTTAACTGGTCTGACACTAGAATTATTATTTTTTGTATAAAGTTTTTTTTTTAACAAACATCAATATAATTTCATGGACAGTGTGGTGTCTGAGTGTCTTTCATTTTGATGCAAAAGCAATATTGATACGATAAGCATTACTAGATTAATCCGACTTACATGGTTTAATGTTATGCATAACTATCAGCACATAATCCTTCGTTTTTCAATTATTCAATATTTGCTACATTCTTCTAATAGTAATAGCATTATTTTTGAGGATACCTAATAACATCCTTTTTCAAACTCTGCTCTTAACCTCTAATATTCACTTTAGACGTGTTAAAATAAAATATGTATAACAACATTCCCCCTATTTCTAAATTTTTTTATCTATTCTAATTTTTAATATGGCCAATCTCATTTTGTTTTTGTTTTTAAGAAAAAAATCATTTCTATTCATTAGAATTATGAATGGAGCTCAAACCTCACCATCAAATTTGATCTTAGAATAGAATTCTTTATTGGGCAAGTGTGATTGGACCCACAAGGAATTTGTCTTTGTTGCACATGCTCTCAATGTACATAAAAAGAAAAAGTACATTCATGAAGAAGCATGTGTTCCTCAGCTAAAATGTAATGAGGAAAGTTATCTTCTTTCCTAGCGCCATATACTCAAATTGTAGCCTTTTAAGTTTTTTTTAAAAGGGGGGGGGGGGGGGCTTTCTGATTTTTCTCTGTGTTCCTGACACAGCACTAATCTGGCATACTTACCAGTTCTGTGAATTGATTCTGCTTTCCTCCAACAGTTGTAATATGCAAGAAGCATATCAAGAATGTGGTTAATTTATTCTGCATAAACAATTTATTGTGCATTTATCCTAATAAATAAAATAAAATTGATTTATTCTTTTCTCTATTTGCAATAGGCAAGCAACATAATTTTATTGATCTATTTTATTTTTTAAATCCCCTGCAAAGGCTGCTGCATGGATTCCCCTGGCCTGCTTGGCATGACCGACCTTGAAGAAAGGTAGGTGATAAAGATGCTAATGTGGCAAAGTATTAGTTTCAAAGGACCTGGGAGGTCAGCAGGAAAGAGGGAGGCTGAAGAGCCCTTTGTTAAGCAGGAAATCTGCTTACAATACAAAGCTGGGAGGCTTAAGTAGCCTAGGGCGGATAGCCAATTCTTCAGAGCGGTCCAATGAGTTTCTTTTTTAAAAGGGAATTTTCTGTTACTGATATTCCCCCCCCCCCCCCCCCCCCCCCCTGGGCTTTCCCCCTGCTCTTTTCCCACAATAAAGGGTATGGGGGGCGGGGTGAGAATTAACAGAATGACAGAGTTGGGAGGGACCTTGGAGGTCATCTATCCCAACTCCCTGCTCAGGCAAGAAACAGAAAAGCCAATGGAGACCTCCTCTCCGGACAGCACTGGCTCTTCAGCTTTGTAACAAAGATCAGCACCAGCCCCCTAGAGCCGGAGGGGAACTTTTTTTTTTACCTTAAGAGAGATGTGGATGGGTAGATAGATAATTCCTTGATAGATATGGAGGGAGGGATTAGATTGAAGGCTTTACGAAGTGAACTTTTTATCAGCCTGGAACAGAAAGTGCTTTGCCTGTTTATCAGGACAAATAACCGAGGGTCAGGTGAAGGTGTAATGATGTCCCCCTGCCTGGTTTGGGAGAGCTTAGCGTTGTTTGGCTGATTGGATTAAGGTAAAGGATTAAGGTAAAGGTTTCCCACATACCTGCTAGCCTTTTCCGGCTCTAGGATGGGATTGGATTAGTGCGGTGAAAGATTAAGAACTGTTAACACGCCCTCCCCCCCTTTCTTAAAAACTTTTGATGTTGGCAATGGGGCTTTTATTTCAAGGTCATGTCCTTTCTCCTTTTGCAGCTTTCGCCTGCCCATGAGAAGGATGTACTCCCTCCCGGTAAGTTTGGCTGAGGAACCACAGGTCTCTTGTGTTGGTGCTATTTCTCTCTTTTCTAAATGTGGGGTTTTCCCCCCCAAAAAATATATTTTTATTATTGACATATTAATATATTGAATACCATGTAATTGGCCATGGCATTCCAATGGTCATAAAACGAGTAAAAAGCCACAATTACATATATGCAAATGTTCACATACATAATTGTTGTACAAAAATTTCTGACCGTCATATAACATGTCAACTCCTCTTATTGTTCTAATACTTGCATTCCCCCGTCAATAATACAAACAGTGTCTCTTTCCAGGACCCCCTCAGCCGATTCTTTCGCCTTCCAACTTCTCCCTCCTGTTTCTAACCGTTGATAAAACCTATTCCATGTGAAATTGTATTCTGTATCTGCTTTATCTATTATTTTTACGTGCTAAATGTAGTTTTGAATTAACTCCAGACTTGGGTGAGATTACAGGTCTTGGAGGTAAAGGCTTAGGAAAATCCCTTTTATCTGCCTCTCAGCAGTTCTAGAATGCTTAAAATTTGAGCACCAAAGGGTTGTTGTTGAGTTTGTTTTTTTTTGCATAGTGGGGGAGGGGCAGGGAGAGTTCCTGAAATGTGGTAAATTGGTTGACAATAACAAAAGTTGGAAGGGACCTTGGAGGTCATCTAGTTTAACCCCTACTCAGGCAGGAGACCCTTCTCCGAATAACAGATGAAAGGGACCTTGCAGTTCATCTAGTCCAACCCCCTGCTCATGCAGGAGACCCTCCTCGTCCTTCTCATCACAGAAATGAAAGGGACCTTGGAGGTCATTTAGTCTCCCTGCTCAGGCAGGAAAGCATTCTCCCCTCTCCTCCTCTTCCTAATAACAGAGATGAAAGGGACTTTGGAGGTCATTTAGTCCAACCCCCTTGCTCAGGCAGGAGAGCCCGCCCCATTTCAGATATGCAATCTACTGTTTTAATTTCAAACATTTAATATCTGATCGGTCTGAAATCCCACCTCTGTCGCTTCAAGTCAGGGTTACCCACGTCCTATGAATCTCATTGCCTCATCATACACAATGCATTCAATTTAATTTTTATTTTCTCATTTGTGTGTATGTGTTTAAAAACTAAGCTTCCCCTGCATGACTCTGGGATTGCTTTTCTCCATCTTTTTTTAAAATTATTATTGTTATTCATCGCACAGTCAGCCAGATGTTCAGACTGGGGTTTGGTATTTTTGTCTCCCTATCAAGTCCTTCCCAAGGACCTGAGATAGGTAGATCTGGATGTTTGATGGTGTTACAGATATTGCCGCAGGATGGAAGCTGTTCCAAGTCGAGCTGCCTTCTGCAATTGACCGATGGCAAATTTGTCAATGCCAATGACGATGTCTAAGTGGTGCTCCAGTTATTTTGGGACTGCACCCAAGGCGCCTATGACTATTGGTAGTACCCTTGCTTGTCTTTGCCATAGTCGTTCTATTTTTATTATTGTTGTTGTGGTTAATCTTTGGTGAGATTCGCAGCCTTTGGGGCTGGTTGGTAGCTCAACAGCTCGGGTCCTAACCAAAGACCTAGGAACTGTTAAGGTAGCATTGGAGGGTATAAGTTGTTCCAAGTAGGGTGGTTTTTTTGTAGAATACATTATTATTAATTATTATTGTTGTTGTTGTTGTTAGCACGGCCTTCTGGGTTGCAGCCCCGCACTGAAGAGGAACCACTCGGCTAGCCCAGATTGGGACGTTTTCCAAGCCCTTGCACCCGAGGAAAACAAAGAGAACGTGAGTTGGGTTTTTTCAGCTATTCCTGCACAGAAAGAGACAGCCATGTATTCAGCATCAGGTGTTCTGATATAAGATTGCCTCCAAAGGTTTTTAATTCAGGGTTTGTTTGTTTTTTGTCTTGGTGGGATTTAGCCGAGATCTCTTCTGAAAACCCAACCTGGCTAGTTTTGCTTTGTTCAAATTTGGCATGTTGGACTTTATACCGTGTTTTCCCAAAAATAAGACTCTGTCTTATATATGTTTTGCCACCAAAAAAAAGGCACCAGGTTTTATTTTCGGGGGACGTCAACCACTGACTAACCTCACTTGTGTGCTTCGCCCCTGGCCTCCTTCTTCTCTATCAGAGGCCTTCAGGAACTACTACTTCTGCGGCCGGCAAGGCTTTCCTGAGCTCCAGATCTATCCAGAGCTTTGTTCTCAGCTACTGCAGAGGCCTTCAGGAAAGCCTGGCCAGCCTTGCCGGCTGCAGAAGAAATGGGCCGGCCAGGCAGGTGTTGGGGTGTGCCAGGCCTGGCTACACCTGTCCAAAGGTAAGCAGTAGGGCAGCACCTCCCCCATCCCCACCCTAGCTTAATTTTTACCCATCCACTCCGGAGTGGGCGGGATCTTAATTAGGGCTTATATTGGGCGCATGTGTGAAAATCAAGCTGGGACTTTAGTTTCAGAGAAACAGGGTAGTTCAGAAACATCTTGAGGGTAGAGTTGCAAAAGGACTTGGGAGGTCTTGTAGCCCAACCCCCTGCCCAGGCAGGAAACCCTCTACCATTTCAGACCAATGGTTGTCTACTCTCTTCCTTTAAAAAAGACCTCCAATGAGGAAGCATCCACAATTTCTGGAGCCAAGCTGTTCCGCTGGTTAATTGTTCTCACTGTCAGGAAATTTCTCTTTAGTTCCAGGCGGCTTCTCTCCATCATTAGTTTCTGTCTGTTGCTGCTTCTCCTGCCTTCAGGTGCTTTGGAGAATGGCTTGACCCCCTCTTCTTTGGGGAAGCCCTTTAAATATTGGAAGACTGCTATCCTGTCCCCCCTAAAAGTCCTCCTTTCTATTAAAG